CCCTGACTTAGATCAGCCCAGAGGTTGTTTCAGGGTTTGATCTGTGAGTTAGCCATGCCCTGACTTAGATCAGCCCAGAGGTTGTTTCAGGGTTTGATCAGTGTGTTTGCCATGCCCTGACTTTTAAACAGTCCAGAGGTTTCATTTTTTAAAACATTTTTTGTTGCTCCCTTTACCTGCTTGTTTTGAACGATATCAGCGGAAGAGACTGAAGACGACGAGGTTGCAGGAGCAGTGTGGTACAGCGATCTTCCTAAAGTCCCCGAGGATAAAGTACCTTCACTGACGGACAAGACCTTCATGTCAACACGTGAACAGGGCGACTTGCTGGTCGTCAATTTCTTCCAGCCCTGGGATTCTAGGTCACGTGCTTTGGTTGGACCTTACGTGCAAGCTGCATTGAGCTTAGGTATTGATCAATGATGATGTAGATGATGTTGCTTATGATGATGATGATGGTGATAATGATGATAGTGGTGATGCTGCTTATGATGATGTCGATGATGATGACTATAATGATGGTGATAATGATGATGATGATGATGGTGGTGATGTTGCTCATAAAGGTGATGATGGTGATGTATATGATGATGATAATGATGGTGGTGATGATGATGGTGGGGATCTTGCTCATAAAGGTGGTGATGATGGTGATGTATATGATGATGATAATGGCGGTAGTGATGATGATGGCGATGTTGCTTATGAAGGTGGTGAAGATGGTATGCTGCTTATAATGATGATGTTGATGATGGTGATAATGACGGCGATACATATTGATGCTGATGATATATAATGATGGTGATAATGATGATGACGATGTTAGTGATGATGATGATGATGTTGATGACGGTGGTAATGACGGCGATACATATTGATGATGATGATATATAATGACGGTGATAATGATGATGACGATGTTGGTGATGATACATGGTGATTGTGATATTCAATATAAAAAATTTCAGATATCAATAGTGATTATGGTTTCTGATTTCCATAGGTAAGAAAGACATCGGTAATTTCAACGTTCGTCTCGCTCGTGTGAACTGCTTCGATTGGACTGATGTCTGCCAGAACAACAACATCACAACATACCCGACCATCAAGTTCTACCGGTGAGAATACAGAATGAATCATGGTGGTGGTGGTAACCGTTGACCATGATGATGCAATAAAATTAATAAATATTCCTATTTATTAATGTCTAATAATAATATCCTTACAGCAAAGGCTCCGATGAGCTCACATACCAAGGTGCTCTTGATGAAGATAATTTGGTCAAAACTGTTCTTATGTAAGTGAAACATCAATTTGATTTGTCTGCCTTTTCCTATCGTACCTCTTCGTGCTGAGCTTGATACGGCGAGGGCGCTTACCCTTGGCTATAATGTTTTTCCATTTCAAACCACGTGTCACTCTCTTGAGAATAAGATTCTTTTTATGAGATCTATCCATGTGTCTTCTTATGCGCAACCGTTTTACAAAAAAATAAACTTAAGGGGATGACATTTTTTTGTTGTAATATTTGGTGAACAAAATCAACAGCTTCTCATAAAGTTTAAATTGTATTTAAAAAAATTCAAAGTCAGTCGAGTTGCCCGTCACTACCCTTGAAGAGGTATGTTGCCTTAGTTTCACTAACCATTGTTTGTTGATATTAATTTTTTAGGCTTCACTCGTCGTCTCCCTTACAGCTCGACTCCCTGGACAAGATAGATTCATTTTTGAAAGGCGAATATCCGAGGAATGCTAAAGAAGCAAGCGAGACTGCAGTTGTTGGACTGTTCGCTGGTGCTGATAGCAAAGGTAGGGTTCAACACTGTAAAACCATGACATGATTTTTTCCCCTTTACACCCAATCACGTGACCAACACAACCTAAGACTAAAGGCTGTGTTTTTGACTTTCGGTTGGCCTAGTGGCAGTACACTTGCCTCTCATCTCTGGGGTCTCTGGTTAGATTCCTAGACTAATCACATGTAATTACAGTTTCTTAGGTCTCTCCATTGGTTCATTGGGTTTATCTCGAGGATTCTTCTGTTTTCTTTCCTCCGCAAAACGGGGTCATGTGATTATGCAGATGTGTATAATTTCATTCCTTGTGAATTTTTTCCCAGAGTTTCAAGTCTTCTCTGAAGCTGCTAGTGAACTTCGTGGCTCTTTCATCTTGGGGTATGCCACAGGAGACGTCGCCAAACAAGCGTAAGAATCCTGATTCATGTCCTGCACGACTGCTTAAATTTTCTAGCTTCGGCGTAGTATTTCCCCATTCCAGACCACGTGTCATTCTCTAGAGTATCATTTCTTTGTTTAACAGTTGCGCATGAGAAGACACATGAATTTGGATCCAACTCAAACAAAGAATCTTATTCTCAAGGGAATGACACGCGGTCTGAAGTGGAAATGCATTTACACCTTAGCAAAAGAGGTCTACAGACCCCTTGCAGCACGTGGGAATGCAGCTCAATTTGGAGGATATAATAATGGGTTTCTGATTCTCAGGAGATTGAAATTCTTTTGTTTTGTGCTCCAAATATAGCCTCCTCTGACGTCACATGCAAGGGGTCTATAAATAGAGTGTTGCTTAACGAGTCTTTGCATCGTGTTTAGGTCTGTCACATATGAAGTCAAGTTGCCGGCAGTTTTTCTCGTCAAACGAAACGATCCCAATCGTCCACGTGTTGTATTCGACCAGGACTTCTCGGCAAGGAGCATCGTGGATTTTATTCGCATGTATTCGCTTAGTTTATTTGTAAGTTATTCATTCAATTTTCACTGTCCCTGGAGAGAACCCTGTCATTTTCTGGCCTAATTTGGCGAGGTCCAAGTGATGAACGCAGGGGAAATCCAAGTGTACCAATTCTAGTATTTTTTCCAATCCTACACAGTGTCCAAAATTTCAGTCCAGTGCATCGAACGTAATTTTTCTACCGCCATAAATATTTGTAAATTTTACCATTACCTTGATTAGAACTGTGATATTTAAATAAAATTTTGAGAGGCAAGATGGCGGGTGAAATCCAACCCACAATGCCATGCGGGTCAAATTCGCTACCAGACTTCCTTTTCGCTCCAGAAAGTGTTAAGTAATATAATAATATATCCACATTATATAACACGTCACTTTAATCTCCTTGCAGGGAGAACTAACACCATTGAATCTGCCGCTGTACTTCAAGTATAATCGTCCATTTCTGATCGCCTTCAGAGCCACGGCAGAGGAAGATACGACTCTCTGTCCAGTCATGAATCAGCTCGCTCAGGATCCTACCATCGACCCACTCATGCTTTGCTGGATGGCACGGTACGTACGTTACTGAGAAACTTTTTCTTTGGGGGGGGGGGGGGGTAACGTTTTGCTTTACATCTCTTGGGATTAGACGTTCTTAGCTTCTCAGACCACGTGTCATTCCCAAGAGTATTATTCTCGAGAGAATGACACGTGGTCTGAAATGGGAAAAAATTGCGCCCAAGACGAATTAGGTCTATTGTGAACTTTAACTGATTGTCCATATCTTGTTTCCATGGTAACAGATCATCAAATGACGTCAATGACGCCGTTCTAGAGATGTACACGGGTAAGACGGATACACCCGCACTGGTCCTGCTTTATCATAACAGGGTAAGTACGTAAGATAGAAAATGATGTATTAAACACTAGCCACGATATCCTTAAAATAGGTAGTTCGAAAAGGTCCACAAGACAGTGGACTGATGAAGTAGGTTTGTAGTGCACAACGAAAGCCAAAGACAGTTTCGTTTGTTTCCAACTAACCCAGGGTGCTTACCATTTAAACCAATCCATGCGGTTGGAAATTCGTTTGCTAATGGTTTTAAGAAAAGAGCGGGAAACTTTGACTTTCGACAAATGCCACACGCGTCTACTGGAAGAACCGAAAAGAGCGGGAAAAGAAATCACCTCTATTGGAAGACCGAGTTTTTCGGAATTTTCCGATCGGAATGACAAATACCATTTGTTTTCAACCGAAATTTCGTGGGTTTTTTTTGGGGGTAAATGATTAGCACTCCTTATCCACTTTTTTCCCATTTCAGACCACATGTCAATCCCTAGAGTATCGTTTCTTTGTTCAAAGGTTGCACTGTTGCATTAGGTCCTTGTTAAAGTATCTCGCGTTTCTATTGGAAATAAACTACCTTGTCTCGGGAACCTCTGTATGGTTGCCTGTCTATCTTCCCGCGCTTAAGCAATCAAAAAAAAAAATCAGTGAAGAAAGGGTTCAATCTAGTTTAGGTTGCGAGGTTTGTTAAAGACTAAGGTTTGAAAAATTCATCTGTTTGTTTTCGTGCAGGGCGTGTTGTATCATTACAAGGACAAAATGTCACTTGAAGACATTACTGCTTGGATCAAACGATGCCTGTCCGGAGAACAAAATCCTTCACGTAAGTATAACATCTTGCATCGTCGCTGTTTTCGTGAGCCAATGCGGCAGATTCGTAGCCGTACTGTATCTTACCGTCAGGTGGCCGTTACTACGCGTTGTGATTAGATGAATTTTTGGGAGACAATGGGAAGCTATTTCGATGTCACGGCATGTCGTACCGTGTACGTGCCGTAAATAGGTACCGTGTTTCCCACTCATACGAACACCTCTCTGTTAAAGCTGTCTGTGTGTCTGTCCGTCCGTTTGTCTGTCTGTCTGTCTGTCCTGTCTGTTTTTAAGCAACTTAGACCACTGTACCGTGTGACTGCTTAGGGATAGGAACACAGGACAGACAGACAACCAATGAGACTAAAAGAACGCTGTACCGTGTGACTGCTTAGGGATAGGAACACAGGACAGACAGACAACCAATGAGACTAAAAGAACGCTGTACCGTGTGACTGCTTAGGGATAGGAACACAGGACAGACAGACAACCAATGAGACTAGAAGACTTCTTAGAGAATAAAAAATATGCTTTAATTTTGTTATGCTTTTTGTTTTGCAGGTTTTCTTAAGAGTAATAGCTGGAAGCCACTGCTTGATGGTTATGACTATCTAACCATGTTAGATGAGGAGAGAAAACGTAGGGAAAGAAAAGAGCGCCGTCAATACGAGGAGGAGGAAGACGAGAATATAGAAGACGACGTAAAACCTGATATGATTGAAGAGCCGACAAGAAAAGCGGAACGAATGCGACTACGAAAACCAGAGGATTTCAGGGATGAGGAGGAGATGCAGAAACATGATGAACTTTGATAGGTGTTAATATTGAGTTTATTTATCAATGCGCATCATCATCATCATCAACAGGTATCATCGTCATGATCATACGTCATCAACATCACCATGTATTATCATTTCATCTTCGTGATCATCATACGTCACCATTATGATCATACGTCATCACAGTCATCATCATTTAATCGTAACCACGATCGTCATCATATTTTCTCGTATGTTCTTTTAGTTATTTTCTCGTATGTTGTGTTTTTTTTTAGTTTTTTTTTTAGTTTTTTTTTTCTTTTCCTTTTTCTTTTTCTTTTTCTTTTTTTTCTTAGTTTAAACATTTAATTAATTGATAAAACGTTTTCTTTATAAAAGTTTTTAAAATAACTAGGAATAAACCAATAAAGTGAAAAATGTACAACTCGTGACATAATAGAGAATAGAGCGATAAGAGAATCTATAGAGTGACAGCTATAAAGGAAGAAAGAAAAAACAGAATGGGAAAGGCAACAGGGACAAAAATTCAATTGATTTCTACAAATCAGTCTGTATACGTAACTAATTTAAACGAAGAATTTTTTTAACTTTAAGAAAAGGGAGGAATCAAGGAATGAAGAAAGATTAAAAGAAAGGAAAAAGAAAAAAGGGAACGAAGAGAGAGAGAAAGGAAGGAAGAAAGGAAGGAAGGAAGGAAAGGAAAAGAAAATGACATCTACAAAAATTAAAAATAATTTTCATGTGCATTAATCATTTCAATATTCGTTAAATCATGATTAATGATTGATTCGATGACTTAAATTTTCAAAAACTGTCAATTATGAATGACTATGGTTTTTATACCGGAATGGATTACTTCAGGGTGCAGTACGGGAGGATTTCATCTTGTCGAGCCCTTCCCAATGAATCTTACTTTTTCACAAAAAGAAGATTTCGAACGAAATTTCTTCTTTGAGATACTTTTCAAAATCCAGTTTTACTGTTCCAAATATATCCACCTGAGAAACTAAAACTATTTAAACTAGGTTCAAGATTATCCGATAAAGCATTAGAATCATCAATCACGTTCTTTAATCTCTTAAAACTTGACTATTATAAATAGACCTGTGTTTTCAGTATGAGTGGCGCTATGCATGACGAACGATCCTATTCAACCAATCAATGGTTTACTAGTTATATAAATATCCCCTACCGAGCATTCTTGAGAGCGTGTGTTTATTGAAGTATTTATAGACAATCTATTTTTATAAACTTTACCATCAGATAGATTGAAATAGCTCACTGGCAAATATTTTTGTAACTGACCTTACGACAACTCACTTAACAATGGAGTCTCTTAGCATGCGTTGATGGTTGTGAGACCAAATTTATACAAACATTACTTAACGATTATTGAACAGTAGTTAATTAAGAAGATTATATGAACGATAATGCACGCGTGAAACTGATTTAATACAGCTTAATGAGGTGTGAACACTAATGAATAAACAAGCTAAGAGAATGTTTTTAGCTGTCGTTACTAACTATTTTCGCGCTATAGGGTGTAGTCACGGGTTAACAGAGTCCACTGAGTGCTTGGAGACTTGGAATGATCTCGATATTTCATACTCTACTCTATCCTGTCGGTGAATAAATCAACGCTAGTCYTTTAGCTTTCGTTACAACTGTCTCCACTACAGGATGTTGTCGCGTATTAGAGGATTTTGAAAAAATTATTGCCTGGGGTAGCCTTAGTATTGCATGTACTATGCCTTCGTTGTGCGGAATCACAGATAGAGCTATTTCAAAAAAAAAGTTGATAAAGATTTCGTTGCTCGTTGCATACCAAGCCCGAAATGCACTATGGGCGATGTAAATCCAGTCAACCAAAGGTCACAACGATATGGAATTTTACCAAACTTTGTATGCACGTTTTTCTAATATGTTTTCTTATGAGCTGACATCACTCACATATGAATATATTAAATTTCAAGCTTGGTAAACTTAAAACCTTTTAACTTGCTTTTTAACTCGTGCATAACCGAAGTTTGAAATAGCTGTATGTAGACCGCTTTGATCTGTTTAAATCGTCTGCGTATCGCGTAGCGACCTCTTGTAGCACATGCTGTGCCTATGCTGAAACTAACCAATTCTATACAGTATGCGGCTTTAGAACTTGCTCATTGATCTCACAGAGTGGAGCACGGTTTTGTGGTGACTCTTATTTCAGTTGCACACCATGCACGTACTTCTGGGAATCAATCGACGGCTATAAGTATATCAGACGAAGAGGACAGTATTGTCAATCTTTTGATAGAATACTCATTAATATATTTGATTTATCGGCTTGGGTAGTGACCTCGCTTCCTCATACGCCTTGTACAGCCTTGGATCTAATAGCTAAGTACTGATTTTTGTAATGTAACAGCGTTATCTTATCACCTTATTCTGGTTCAGCAGTAGAAGGAAGATTGATTAAATGAAGTATCAGGAAAATTAGAGCTGTTGATTAACTAGTACATCATTTGGCGATCATTGGTAACATGATCAAAGGATTAAATAAATGTGAAAACTTGGAAATATATAGGATAACACAATGAAAGAATAAAAGAAAATAAGAAAGGAAAAAAGAAAGAAAAAGAAAAAAATATGATTATAAACGATGTGAGTGGCAGTTCAAACCAGTTTTAAAGTTTATTTAGATATTTCTCTAACAAATGATAGTTAACTACAGCCAAAAAGAAATAAAACATACCTGAAAAGAATATTGAAAACTCGGACTTAGTTTACATCAGGATTTGTCTTTTTGACAGCTAGGGAAAACAGACGAAGATAAACAGACTCGTTCTAATGATGCATTAATTGAACAAACACGGCTCAGACATTACAAAAACCTTCACCTTCATTTACTATAATCTCTTATTCTTTAATATTTCAACTTGTTGTTTTTGGAACAACCGCGTTCCTGCGCGAGCTGCGATATTGTGAATATATAGTCGAAAGATTGAAGCAAATTTTGAAAAAGCTTTGGTTTCACTCTTCTGCTCGGCATCTCTAACCAACCGAGAATATGTCTTTGCTTGAATTAAGTGCATGACCTTTACTCGCAAAAATGCTTGGAGTGTTTTGAGCTGGCAAGCCAGCTGGGGGCATTCATTCATTGCCGTTCTGCCGTCTGGCGTCGTTGCAGCAGCACTCGTAAACAGAGTATCAGATTTCAGGACTAAAATCGTTCTTTCACTGTCAAGGTAAATTAATATCCAGGTAATTCTATATACAAATCCATACTATACCTCTTTAACAACAATAGCATTTAAAACCCACGAAAAAAGATAAAAAATATATGTCTTTTAACCAAAACAAATTCTTGTGGTTTGCAATTTTTTTCATGGAATTTATATCTAAGGATGTTTTTGTACGATCGCGAGTGCGATGAACCGTGCTTCGGGGCCACCCACAGAAGTAACTTTTATATTAGCTAATTAAAGCAAATTTTATAAAAAAAAAGTTATGTATTTTTGTAATTAAGATCGAGGTGTTTATATCTGTTTATTGATACACAAACAGACCACAAAACTGATAAAATATCTATCTAAAACGGCAATGTTTACTGGTCTAACAATGAAACACTAATAGTTAAGTGGTGTAACGTGACGTGTTTGGAACATCAGCCAATCAGACGCAGAAGACATAGGACATGCCTGGGCATGTTACTCAAAAGCGTGACGCGTGTTTTATAGTCAGTACCAAAAACCCGTGCCAAGATATCTATTAAGCACATTTTAGACACGAGAAATAAATCTAGATTAAATTATTTAAGGTAACGTATCCTATGCTGAAATATATTTTCTTCGATCGAAGTACGAAGTAGTTTTGAGTCGATTTGGCTGTGAATGACAGCGTGACAATATTTTTTCCCCCGGTTTATGAATTACGAACTTACAGACATATTCACTCGTAGGATCGCTGTATGAGGCAAAATGGAATGCTCTTTACTAATGGTAAGTTGTGTTTTTTTTATTTTTTCTAATGATCTATTGCTTTTAAAAACTGGAGTATCTCGTATGGGGTCTGTAAAATTCCCGCGCTTACTAAAGACATTGCCAAACGTATTCTCGACGTTGGTCGTGGAGTTGGGGAAATTATTCACACCTATCAACAATGTCAAGAGACTTCCTTCATATAAACCCAAATTTAAATACTTCCACTGCTTTCAGACTTATTCTAAACTCCCAGTCGGATATATTGATAATAACACTCATTCCTCTAGAGCATGGAACTCGAACTATCCGAATCCTTTTCAGAAAGTTTTTCGACTATTCAAAAATCTTTATTCAGCACATTTTTGGATCGCATGCAATCACATTGTAAACATTTAAAAAAAGGCGTTGTTCTTTTCTTTTTTAGCCGGAAAATCACTAAAATATATCAGGCTTATGAGTTTATTTTTTTGCTTTGGTATTTAATAGGCTGTGATGGGTTTTTGGTTGATTTTTATTTAGGTTTTTGTAGCGATCTTGCTTCATCGCCATTCAGTATATAGTGTGTTTATATGCTAGGTCATTCATTCCCAAGCTTTGACCTCTCGATCATAGCAGCTTGAAGCTAATAAATCTCAAGAAAAATATGATAGTTTTTTAGAGTTTGAGTTGATGAGTATCTATATGAGTATATTCCTTGTCCTTATGTACCCAATTATTGAGAAAACGTGGGCAAACTAAAAACTATTAGCGTAGAAAATTAGCATGGGAAAAACATTAGACGGCTGTTAGTGATAAGTATTTTTTCAACTTGGGTTTTAATCTGCCGTGCTTATTTAATATTCGTGTACCATCAACAAACATATTATAGACCGCTAATCGAATATTTCGATCTGTTTAGACTCGACATTCGCTAAGTTTCGAACGACTTCATAGAACTTTTGCCCAAACGGAATAGTAATTTTTGTTAGCACTTGTGTCCTGGTTTTTGCATTTTTTTTTTTTTTTCGTCTCATAAAAAGATATTATCAGATGACCGATATTATATATATCCACTTTCTTAAAAGAGATACCCTCTTTTCCTTGTGGATAATCCATACAGCCCTTCTAAATCGCTATCACGACTATCACAGATACTTATAGTGCACTCTGTTCATGGAGCTCATACAACTTCCTTCTCTTTGCCTGTTTTTCCTTGTTCTCGTTCAGAGCTGTTTTGACTTCGATTTTTGAGATTTACGAAACTGCTAGTCAATCTTTTAATCTTTGAAAAGACAAAAAAGATATTTGTCTCCAGTGAAATGGTTTCTTTTTACTTTCAAATGGTTTTCTCGCATTAAATCAGAATTTTTTTTCGTATGTCTGGTCAATGAAATGGGTCGATTGCCGAGCACGTTGCCTGAGCATTACATTGGCGTTTGCCACACAGTAGACATTTCTTGTCCTTAAATGGTTTCCTATAGCCCTACAATGTCTTTTCACTTGTACTGTACAACTTACTGGAATAGATTTTTCCCTGTCACTGAAATGCAAAACCAAAGTTTTGATAAATTGAAATGACAGTGAGTCTCGTCAATGCATGTGTTACTGCATAATTCACACAAGCAATCATCATGCAATCTCTCTTCCAACACACCCTTTATTTCTAAGCGATCTTTGACGAATTTTCTAAGTATATTTTTAAACTTAAAGTTGCTGGTAGTTATCCCTCGCTGTGTGAGCCTATTTTCATTCATTCTACTTGATAAAAGACATCGTGCTGAGAGTGTAATTCCACGACACGACGAGACAACGTGGTCATCTTCAACTCAGCTCAGCATGATGCCTTCAGTTGGACTCGTGCCGTGGCTAGCGCACCTTCGACATTTTATCCGGGATACTATTCGCTCTTCTTTCAGCCAAAAACGTGAACATAACATTTAATATATCCCATGTATTTTTTATATTGATATTACATTATGCTGGTAAATAAATTTTAACTGATGGTTTCAGTTTATGCATCGAGTTGCAATATCTGAAGTCTGCGCACGATGTATAAAATGTACACCAAGTTATTCACTTTGGCCTAACTTTCCTAACTTTATGACTCTTCTACGTCGTCGGTAATCGTTCTATATTCTTAAATATTTCATATTCTTAATCATTTGACATAATTCTCACCGTAAATGAATGCTTTTCATTATGACTTTGAACAAAATTCAATGCCATTTTCCCATTCTAAATGAGCTATTAGGTAATAATATTCCTAAAACAGGGTTATGCGGTCAATGGATTAAACTATTAAAATCAATAAAAATTATTTGACCAACAACGGCTTAGGTAGTCGAACAAATTATTCGAGGAAAAGGAGCAGTCTCTCTTTCGGGAATTTGTAAAATTTTGAATGAAATAAGTTTTTCTCTAAGAAAAAAGGGTTTCGTCTTATTGACGTGTGAGTTGCGACTGAAGGATCGTATGTTCTAGATGTAAATTTATTTATCAAGTTGAGCAATAATGGAAGAATTAGGTCAAGAGCTGCCTAATCTATACTAAGAAATGGTTTTGAAAAAAAAACTATGATAATTAAGTTTATAAATGCGAACACTTATCCAAGGGTTAGGCTTTTTGACTTGTTAACTGACAAATATTGCTTAAGTTTTGCCCAAAGTTTATTTCACGAATTAATCAAAGCGTGGGTTAAAAGTTGGAAAATATTTTCTAGACTTTGAACCGTTCAACATTGGATGCCAAAATAGGGAAAACTTAATCCATAATTAACTTGAGTATGATGAAAATGTTAGTGCATTCTATTATCGACTGATAGCATCATACTGACTTAAAATTAAACCAAATACAAATATTAAGCATAATGAAGGGGTTCATAGAGTATTCAAGAACCAGACGAAAGCAAAAGTGAAAGTAAGCATTGTTATTTTTCGGTAAACATAAATAGGGGAAGTCCCTTCACAAGTGAATTGTACTTTCCAACTACCATGCTGTCTACATTCCTATAGGTGTGTCAGGCGTGACTTTATACTTCACTAAGTAGATTTACTTTGCTTAGTATTCTACATATTTATAGCTGGGAATGATATTAAGAAATCAAGTTCTATGCCACCAAAGGGAATTCTTGGCTTGAATTCTTGATTCTTGAAGTTTTTCATTAGAAATTCCTACGAAACGTTTTGTATAATCAAGATTGAATTGTGTCTTTACAACGAGGATTGTAGAGAACTTGAACAAAAAAAACATAAAAGAATCAAAAAGCTTAGGAATATCAAGAAAGAAGAATTATCAATATTAGGACTTGATATCCGTAGCTTCGTGATAAATAAATATGAAAATAAATCTTACAGATACAGTCAATGTCATTAACGTTGTCCACCGAAAAAAGATATTTACACATTTACACATTTACACATTTACACATTTACACATTTAGACTAAAAGAAATATCACGTGTTTCCTCGAACGTTTTGACATAAAACAAACGCTGAAATACCATTCTCCATCTTAAATCCTCACTAAATGGTCAGGGAATTCTGGATTTTCGATTCACGAGTTGAATTTTACATTCAAAGTTCAGGCTGACGAACACGAGGCAAAGAATGCATAATGAAACACGTGATATTTCTTTTAGTCTAAATGTCTAAATGTGTAAATGTCTTTTTTCGGTGGACAACGTTAATGACATTGACTGTATGTGATATTCAATGGATAAGTTTTTCAATTTTCCGTGAGACAGGTCACCAAATAACGATTTGACTTAAAGCTACCGAACTTTTAAATCTGCTTAGGTTTTTATTTCTAATTTGTTTATTTATTTATTTTGGAGCTTTCAGAGTTTCCTATAGGTCTGTTCAATCATTCTATTCAGCAGAGATCTTAAGGTCTTGAACTGGATACACCAGCAAAAACTCAGTGAATAGTCATCAAAGGAATGCCAACAATGAACCTGTTTAGACACAGAACAGACACAGGGGCTTATCGATAAGGAGTAACCAAACAATCTCGTTTCCGTTGACAGGTTATATTTTTCCTGAGCTTCATTGGCCTTGTACAGTCTTCGTGCAATTTAATTTGTTCTCCTGGTGAATTCCTTTCTCCGCCATGTAACTGCATGCCTTGCCCGGTAAGTTATGTCACCGTTGTCCACTGTATAAGTGTATTTGCTGTTTTAACTGTTAATATAATGTAACTGCATGCCTTGCCCGGTAAGTTATGTCACCGTTGTCCACTGTATTAACTGTATTTGCTGTCTTAACTGTTAATGTAATGTAATGTGTTGACTTATATCGTTTTGGACAGAGGAATTTCATAAATAAGCCCGCCAAAAAGATATATAGCAACCGATTTCTGTGAATTCACCCATCCATCCATCCATCCATCCATCCATCCATCCATCCA